GCAGTAAACTAGAGTGGAATCAGAGTGGCATGACAGAGCTGGGCAGCAACTCTCATCATGCCAAGGCCATGCCAGGTCACTCATGTGAAAGAGGTCAAATACTCCCACATGTGTCACGGGCATATTTTGTCACACTTCCAAGAGAATTGTGGACGCAAACAACTTCTGCTAAACTTGTTCTCACTTGCAAATAGCCTCTGAGTGAAATTCTGCATGTTTGTTTGGGTTTTTTTAAAGCAGCTTTGGAGATTTCAGTAATTACCTGACATCTGCTGCAAATGCACTGATGCACTTTGCACTGAAATTCAAACTGAGGCTTTTGTGGCGTTTATTACTCTATCAATACAACTACTGCTGCAGCCGGGCACAGATTAAGCGTGGGCGTCCGTAGGCGCTATCATTTTTGGGACTAACAGTCTTCCTGCTGTTACTATTTATATTTTAGTAACAGTTTGTTTAACTCACAGTTTCTCTTCCTTCCAACTAAAAACCAAAAGATCTTGCAAAAGATGAATGCAGAAATAGACATGTTTGGGGATGTTTGGGCCTAACTAATTTTGAGTTGGGCTTGGTATTGTTGTTGTTGTGAAGATATTCAAATTGCCCCTCTCCTTCATAATGCTTCCACCCACTCTTTAAACACTTGAACCCGGCCCCCACCGACATTGACACTCGGTGCCATGGTACCAGTCTCAGCCAGCTGTGGAGGGAGGAGGCCCTGAGTAGTGACATTGGCAGTGGTGGAGAGACGGTCCCGGTGACCCCTCCGCCATTACGTTAGTGTAGTATATGTGTGTATTGTGGCACCATGGTCTTTGTTTGACATCACTGGCCTTTGTTCCTTCCCAATCATGGCAGATACAATGGATATTGTATCTGCTGCCACAAAGAGATGCTCTTTCTTTGGGCCCCCTGAAGCCAGCGTTTCACCACCATCCCTCAATCGCCTGGTGACGCCTGTGACCACTGGACAAAGAGGGCTGGACCAGATTTAGTAAGAGCAGAGCTGTGAGGTGTTGGCACAAGCATTTGAGCTTTCACATACTGGATGAAGTCAGCGCTGAGAGGTTTATTTTACAGTAGCAATACCTTGTAGAGAGCTCTGTACAACACTTGTTGGCACTGGAACCTTTCTTATAGCGGAGTACAGCATCAGAAGCAGCAAATGTTTCCGGTCAGGCAGCCTTGGCTTTGCAAAGCCTTAGGTGCTTTCCTCTATCCCATTTCTGGCAATGCATTTATTAACACTTTGGATGTTTGCTACCTGCTTCAACAGCTCAGCTTGCTCTGGAAGAAGTGCGTGAGATTGCTATAAAGTCCGTGTTGGCTGCCTTTGTTTGGACGCTTTATTGGGAGACGCTGCTTGAACTCTTGTTTGTCACTGCTGTCTAATTTATCTTCTTTTTTTTTCTTGGTCTTTTGCTTTTGCTTTCTTGCCTGTTGTTGGGGTTTTGGTGTATGCTCATGGATTTTCAGACAAAGCGAGGCCTTTTTCATAGCTCCCCCACTGGGTGAAAGAGTCCCCCACTGTGGCATAGATGTGCTGTGTGGTTATATGTGCGGTGTGTGCCGCCTGTGTGCTGATATATTATGCCCCCTCAGGTTGCTATGATTGCTGTATCCGGTGCATTGGGGCAGTGCCCTACCCATCCCTGGTGGCCACCTTGCTGTGCTATGCTGGCATGGCATTATTTTGTGGCTGCGGGCACGAAGCGCTGACCCAAACCGAAGTCCTCGTTGAGACTTACTTTGCCCGCAACATTCAGGACTATGTGGTCATGGCCTCTTTGTGAGTGATTTTTCAATAACTTCTCTCAGTTGTAGCTTCTTTTTTCTAGTCTCTGGCATTGCTTTGTTTTAACTAATTGACTGACTTCTCTCTGTGACTGTTCCAGTATCAAATACTTCCAGTACGTGATCTATGGTCTGGCTTCATTTTTCTTCCTCTATGGTATCCTGCTACTGGCTGAGGGCTTCTACACAACAAGTGCTGTCAAACAGACCTTCGGCGAATTCAGGAGTACCCAGTGCGGCCGCTGCCTCAGCCTGACGGTGAGCACATGGGTGGAGGAGGAGGGAGCGAGGAAATGAAGAGGGAGGGGAAATGTGAGGTGTCAACATTGTTGAGATGCTGAATTCTGGCTTGTTTTGAGTCTAATAAATATGCTCTTTGGTTCTGCAATTTCCACATGAATTATGGTTCATTACAGATTTAATGACACCACATTTATCACGCGGAAAGTATCTATTAGCATCTGTGTTGCGATTCTGTGACCTTGTGTGCTGCACTTTTTTGCTACAACAGTTCATCATAGTGACGTACATCTTGGCCTTCATCTGGCTGGCGGTGTTTGCCTTCAGTGCTATCCCAGTCTTCTTCTTGTTCAATATGGAGCAGACCTGCCACACCGTCAACATCCTGTCTGAATCAACCCCCAGCATTAATCAGCATGGCTGGATCTGCATGGACGCCAGGCAGTATGGTGCGTTGCTCGTGTAACTACTGACCACATGGTCCCCCTGATGGGAATGTTAATGCGCCCTTGAAAGCAATTAATCACCGTGTAGTGGCTGCTAGACTGATGGCTATATTAGTCAGGAAATAATGAAGAGAACTACACCTTTATGGTCATTTCTTCACTATAGTTTCCCCGACATGCTTCAGGCAAGCCAGAGCATACACGGATCATCAAATCTCATCATAATTCAGCCATAGTATGAGGTTTCTCACTTATGTTATGTCTCCATTTAAGGTCTGCTTCCTTGGAATGCAATGCCAGGCAAGTCTTGTGGGACAACCTTAGCAGCAATCTGCAAAACTAGTGAAGTGAGTAGAGTCTTTATACAGTTCGATATAGCATTTTGGCATCATCACATTAAAATCACTGATCAAAATCGACATAAAATCTGTTTTGAATTATTAGCAGGACAACGTGCATATGAGAGAGCTCACAGTAACACACAAGAGTTTGATTAAACGCCCTGCATGTGTTTCAAGCTAACCTTTTTTTATTATGTCTTCCAGTTCTATGTCACATATGACTTGTACATAGCTGCATTTGCCGGTGCTGGGATCACTCTGTTAGCACTGGTGAGCTATTTTTGCATTATTTCTAGGACATTTAAGCTAACTCCATTTAAACAGCTGAATCAAATTTAAATTTTGAAATGAAACCACTCTGCGGTGTTGGTGTTTTTCCTACGTCATCATAATAGTGCTTGTCAAGGATTAATATTGCCAGTGACCAACAATATTTTCTGAGAGTTCCGTTAGCACAGGTCAAGAAGTTAGCTATTTCTTTAAAAACTATCATTACCAAACCAATGCAAGTAACCTAAATCTGGCTGGCAGCAAGTCTATCTTGATAATATATATATTTTATTGCATTCATTAATAAAGAAAACCCTTGAAATGCTTACCATTTATTCCACAAGAGGGTCATATTTGAACACGGGCATCTTTTTCTTATTTTTCCCCCTAAATTGCAATGCTGTGACATCACAACAGCATGATTGGCCAGTTTTAGTGTTCATCCTGGACATACATTAATATGATATATATGTTTTATCATATTATCTACATTTATCATATTATATAATGTTATGATGAAGCAGGAAAAACACCATCACTGGTACATCCGATAAACGTTTTTTCTCAATCTAGGCACTTGAAAATGAGTTTCCAGAAACAGAGCTGCTTTTACTGTTTAAAGTATCATTTTGAATGGTGTTGTGAGTGGAGCCGCTTCTGATTAACACTGTACACAGCAAAGTATGTGAATTATTTGGAGGAACGGCGACACACTGTCAATGTCAGTTTTCAATGCTATGATCTTCACGCAAAAAAATTCCAGTCACCTTGTTTGTATTGAGCAGAAATAAATGAATTTTCAACGTGTGGATTTCTCTAAACCAAAACTCTGTTCGTGACTACACACAGTCAGAGATGACTATTAAAGTTTGCTTTCTATCTTGGATGATTAAAGCATTATACTGATCACTTCTCCTCTTGGAGACAAATGAATATTCATTGTCTGCTTGCAAAAAAAATGCTTACAGTACTCGTTTATGTGTAGAAGCTGATTATTTTTTTCATTTCATTAATTCTTCCACTCACTCTAGTTCCTGTATCTGGTTGCCACCACCTACAACTACGCAGTTCTGCGGTTCCTGGGCAGAAAAGGCATTCGCTAAGTGCAGCGCCTCAGTTTTCTCTGTTAACCCCATTGTCCGACTACGAGATGGACAGTCAGCCTACATTCATCCTCTGGGAAACGGCAACCTCCAAACCTGGATTGCCTGCTATTCTTTAAACCTTTCCAATAACAGAAATAGTTTCTCATCACTATTATGTATGAACAACAGACAGAGAGATGAAGATAATTTACCTCCAGCAATGAGCTCTGGCCTGTGCATCAGATCCTCCTTTCAAGATGATTCTCTTAGCTTTGTTGTTCATTTTCCCATTGCTGGTTGTATCTCTCACTTTATCCTTTGTGTGAGGCTTTGTTGGTGCTCATTGTGATTTATGATGTTTCATGAATAATTAAGAGCAATGACAGCTTGCCTCGCAAGTCATAACTGCATGCACAGTATTCAGTGGTTACTGACACCCAAATTGGCTCTCAGTATGATTTTGTGGCTTCTCTATTATCAGCCTTCAAAACTGCATGAACTAAAACGAGTGAGGCTGAACGAACCAAATTTCCCGTTGAGCTTTCACTTACAATAAACGTGCTTTTTAGTCATACTTATACAGTCTCTTTTTTTCTCTTTCGTTTAAATGCTACCATGGTAGGTGGGATAAAAAGGTGTTCAGCACAATATAAGCTGTTTTAGGTTGCAGAGGGGTTGATGCTTCAGTAACTTGTCCCCAGGTGTTTAGCGTGTAGCCCTGCTACTTAGACTTGTGTGTGCTTATTTGAAATTAAGGCTCATTAAAACATTTAAATCTGATGCGTGGAATTTTATTCTAGCCATATACAGTTGCATTGCTGGTATTTTTTTTTTTTTTGCTGTATTTTTAATTTATCCTTTTCATTGCAGAATCATTAATCATAACAATATACTGCCCTTTTACTGGATACAGTTGTGACAAAAAAAGAAAGAAAGAAGAAGTCGATAGGGAAGTTATGGGAAATAATGGACAGCACATTCATCAAGGTATGCTTGGACTATTTTCTGGAAACATATTTGTCCCAAATAGGCATCATTTCTTAACCGCTTCTGAAAAACACACTCCACACTGGATCACTTGGTCCTTCAAAAACATGGGGGTCAGCATATCTCCAAGGGCCCTAGCACAAACCCCGCACTGCAAAAGCATGCTCAGTGTTAATTTCATGTACGAGAGATAGTGAAAGGATATCATAAAAGCACAGATATACAGCATTTTTACAAAAGAAGACATAACAAACCTTTAAACAGTCTGGGTGGCAGTTTATCGAAGGCTCACTGAACATGATCTTGACATTTCCATTAATGATTTGGTTGCAGAAGTAACAAGGAGATTTGCCGTGACTGAAGCAGGTGGTTAAAAAACAAAGCAAAGGTTATGAACCTTATTAATTTTTACACTTATGTACACTCAAAAAAAAAACATTCTTGGCTCTCATAAACACAAAGCAATAATTTTGACTAAATGTAACTGAAATATATGAAATCAAAAGTGAATTTATTCAAATACTTCATCAATTAAGGAAGATATGCTGAATGTATAACAATCATGACCAGAGTCCATTAAATTACGGTTTTACATTTAATGTATGTAATTAAACCACTTGGAAAATTTACATGTAATCAAATTACTTAATGTCAACATTTTAGGGATAGATATTTTTTGAGTGTTGTATAACTATGTATAGTAAGAGTGAGAAACTTACATGGGCTTATTCAGAGTTTTTGTTGAGTTTACGTCCTCTGCAGGCTTTTGAGACACATCAGAACTACAAAAACAGTCACAAACAATGAGGATGATTTTAGTGCTCAAATAAAAATATGCGAACAACACTGAATACTCTACTGTTCCTTTATTTTTTTTAAATAAAAACACTCACATATGGCTATCATCACACTTTTGGTTTGGTTTGAAGTCCTCAGAGTGGGGTTGTCTTGGATCTTCCACAGGTTTAGGAACAGCTTCAGCCTTGGCCGTCTCCACAGCTGAAGCATCAGTCAGTCTAATAGCTGCGTGCTCTGTGTTATCCAAAACACCTTCTGCATCTGAAGCAGCTACTTGGTCAAGGGCATCTTCAATGTTCAACTCTTTGTCACAGTCTGCTGCTGTCTTAGGTGTTGGATCAAAACTTTGTTCAACAACAGTGCCTTCATCTTCACGCTCAACCGCCTCTTCAGTTCCGCTCTTAAAAACCGGCTCAGAGGGTGGTGCACACTCGACTTTAAACTCCACACCCTTGGCAGTGTCAGCATCGGATTGACTAGATGGTGCAGGCAGAGTGTCGGTGACTGATATGGTGCTGTTTTGTAGAGCAGTTTCTTCTTCTGGTGTTGCATCACTTACAGCGGGTGTTTCCACACCGCCTTGGAGAGAAGCTTCTTTTCCCGATGTTGCCAAAGCAGGTGGTCCATACATGTTTACTCCTGCGTGCTCTAAATTAGTTGTATTCGGCGGTTCTGTTTTGATTACAGATTCTCCAGAGACTCCAGCGGTGCTTTTACTCTCACTACTCTCTCTCACTGTGCCTTCCGCAGCAGAGATTTCTGCAGGGGGATTTTTCACATCAGCATCTGCGGAGGCCTTATCCTCATTGTGACAGGTGTCAGCTGGTGCATCAGCATGTTGTTCCGTGTTTTCTGCAGTTGCTTCAGTAAATGTCTTTTCTGGCTGTGCATTAATATTTTGAATAGGTGCTTTTGTGGGGGGTTGAGGCCTGTAAAAGAGAGTGTTACTTCTTCCCCACTTTGCAACAAAAAATTTGATTTGTAAGCAAAATAACAAACACTCAGCATCTTTAAATTTAACACTTCCAGTTACAGTCTCGTATACTAACTCTATCTTCACTGTTGAGCCTTCAGGCCGAGTGTCTTTCGGAGCTGAAATATTTTCAGCACTTGCCTGATTAGCTGAATTCCTAAAACAGACAAATAAAGCACTGAGTATTTGGTTTAAATGTTCAGATTTAACTGAGATTAAGCTTGAAATATGCAGATTTGCAGAGAAGCAGTAAATATTTGCTCAGGTTTTGCACAGTTTAATTTACATTCAGCACCAACATACCCTTCAGATGAAATGACCTCTGCCTTTTGAAGAGGAGAACTTGGTGGAGGATCTATTGCTCTACAAGGTACGAATAAGAAGAGAAAAGAGAAAGCCTTATATTTTCTTAATTGCTTCTTCAGAACCAATAAGAGATTTCATCACCTTCTAACTATGTTGGCTCAGAAATAAAGTCTAAGCCAAATGCTCCACATTAGAGTAGTGACTGATGTATCTAGTGAGCAATAATATAAATGTACATCATTAGCTATCATATATAGTGCTTGCTTAATGAATACAGCGTCAGCAGTATTCTGGGAGTTTCAGAATCTCTTATATAAACAACGTTCATCCATAACTTACATTAAAAAAAATTTGTATGAAGAGTGCAACCTGCATTGAAGGATGAGCATTCTGAGCATGTGAAATCAGTGATTGATGAAACAAAGCTAACAAATAAGGCCTTAAATGTCAACACAATGTTTATTAATGGTGTAAATATCACCAGACACGTTGCAGTGAAGTGGTGGCTGAGGCTGGTAATAAATGAGAGACACACAAACTAAAATCTAACTTTTCCCGCAGGAGCAAAGCCTCTTGATACAGAAGAATATGCTGTATACACAACAAACTGTGAGGTAATGGTCCCTTTGCAGCCTAACAAGTGACAGCAAAACATGTGGTGTTTGTCATTCATGAGTGTGTGAACTGAACTATTAATTCAGAAGGTTTATGACTTGTGTCAATTGCGGTCATCTAAAACAGCGAGTATACACACATTTGTCTATCTTTTTAGTGCATTTCTATTATTTCTGTTAAAAAAAATCTGACTTGATAGAAAATGTTTATGGACTTTGAACCATCAGACCCAGGGAACAGATGCGTAAAAGGCAGAAAGGGCGAAAGGTACAGCAGATGGCTAAGACATCAGCACAACTTTTAATTTTGGAACATCCAAATAAGGACAACATAACAGTGTTTGCTGGGTTAGTTTTGGTAAGAACACTTTGGGGAAGCTAAGCTTCATGAGGCCTCTTCATAGCTGTGTCTCTGGTTTTACTCCAAATAAGGAGAACATAACAGTGTTTGCTGGGATAATCTGGGAAAGACAGACAGACAGACAGACAGACAGACAGACAGATAGATAGATAGATAGATAGATAGATAGATAGATAGATAGATAGATAGATAGATAGATAGATAGATAGATAGATAGATAGATAGATAGATAGATAGAAACGGAACAATGATGTAAGCATTATGCTTTATGTAGCAGCACAAATATACAAGGTACGGATAAGAAGTGAAATACACCAGCAAGCCCTTTTGGAAAGGTTTTAAAGTGGCCTAGACAAAGTGGGACTTACATCCAATTGAGATATTTTGGCATGTTCTCTATTAGACTGTTCAGCCCTTCAGTGTGGCGAACTGCAGTATCACAAACGCTTCAGTTCCTGCTGCCAGGGGTGGCACAACGAGAGGGCAATTACTTTTCACATAAGACCAGGTAGTGTTGGACATTTTTTCCGCCTTAATAGAGGAAAGGATCATTTAAAAACTTTTTTGTATTTACTCAGGTTATCCTTGTCTAATATTAAAATGTGTTTGTTGTTCTGAAACATGTAAGTGTGACAAATATGTACAAAAAATAAAATAAATAAATCAAGAAGGGAGAAAAAAAAATTTTTTCACAACAATGCTGGCTAGCTGATTATCATTACAAGGGTACTGTAGTGCAATTTATTGATTTGGTCAGTGGTCAGCGTCTCCATAGGCTTGGGCTCTTATTTTCTTGATACCTCTATTTTGAAAGCGTCGTGGAAATACTTCCGGTCTTGTTCCGCTTTTCCCCGGCTTCGTAAAGTAGTAGCATATTGCTAAGCGGAGAAGTTAACGGCGATAGTCAAATGTAGCAGCATTATTTTAATTCTCTGTAACTAGCAGACATATCAGTGGCCACTGTGGAATCAACACTACCCAGGTGGGCTGTTTTCAAGTGTAGTATCGTCTCAAAATAGCACCACAGTCCTTACGTCTGCTGTTTTACATCAAAAATAATACCAACACGGTCCGAGACGAGTAAGTCGCTTCGTATTTTACGACTTTTACTTTTAATAAAAAACATAATAGTAGTTAATAGAAAATTCATGTGGCCTGCTGTATCATTTTTAGAGCTAAATGAGGTGCCTCCAAAAATGTTACTTCCCGATGCTTTCCACCAGGTTTTGAAAGAAACTTGACATAAGCCTATCAGGTTACTTAACACTGATACAGTGTTTTTCAAAACAAAATATAGCATAAATATTATTTTAGGCCCGGTTAAAAAAATAAAATCTTAAATGGCATTCTGTTCCTTGTTATTTCAATACATTAGTGCAGGCTCTAAACATTTTAAGCAAAAAAACAACAAAAATAGCAAGATCTTTTATTCTTATTGAAGTGAGCTTAGAGATCTAAAAATGCATTACCTGTTTAATAAAGTCAGCTTTATAGGTGACTAACAAACTCAAGCCTTTTATATCTGGTTGTCATGAGCGCTGAAGGACTGCAATAAACTCCAACTACACAAAGTACAAAGCAATTATTTCTGGTAAAGTAAAAATGTGTTTAATTAGTAAGCTTATACCAATGTCAATGTGATTTGTGATTTTTTTTTGGTGCTTAGCCAGGCCACTTTGTGGCTGTCGGATTTTTACTTGTATGGTTCATCTCAGTATTTTCTTGTGTTGCCATAGGGGGAAAAATGCCATCGAGAAATCACCTTGATAAAATCGGGAGGAAGAAAAAGAAGAGGTGGACAGAGGACGCCATGGAGCGTGCACTGATAGAGGTCAAGTCAGGCAGGTGCACAGTGAGACAAGCCGCCAAGGAGTTTGGAGTCCCTAAATCTTCACTGGGGGACAGAGTCAGTGGACGGGTGACCCCTGGGAGCCGTAGCGGCCCGGCTCAGCTTATAACATCTGCTGATGAGGAGTTGTTGGTCGAGTTCTCCTTATACATGTCCAGGCATGGATTCCCACTTACAAAGCAGCAGCTGGTGTCCTTCGCATCGTCAATTTATAAGCGGCAACACCGGAGGGTGGCATTTTCCAAACTGGGCCAGACATGGTGGCTCAATTTTAGAAAGAGACAAGAGAAAAACATCACTATTCAGCCAGCAGACAATGTTGTCCGTGGGAGGACTGTGTCAGTGAGAAAGGAAGCAGTAGATCAGTTTTTTCACCTCCTGAGGACTGTTGTAGATGCTCATGAGCTCATAGACAAGCCTCACCAAATTTTCAACTGCAATGACACAGACTTTCAGCTGAGTAGGAAGAGGGTGACTCTCCCCAAATCTGTCGGTCTAGGCTACAAGCCAGCGCCAGGCTCCAGGGACCATGTCTCCGTCTTGGCTTGCTTTAATGCGGTTGGAGAGGACATCCCCCCATTTATAATCTACTCAAAGGCCTATCCAGGGGGAGTATGCTACAAGACACAAGGACCACCGAATGCCCTATACGGGTGGTCAGACTCGGGATGTATCAATTCAGACCTCTTTAAGAAATGGTTCCTCAAACATTTTCTCGTGCACGCACCAAAGGAGCGTCCACTGCTGCTGATTTTCGATGGCCACAAGTCACCCGTGAACCTGGAGGTGGTGGAAACAGCTCGTAAGGAGGATGTCATTCTTCTGTGCCTCCCACCTCATTGCTCCCACATCCTCCAGCCACTCAATGACGGTCTCTTTGTGGTCCTCAAGCAGCACTTTGCTTCATTCCTAGGCGACGGCTACACTACTGACACCCACTTTGCAGTTAGCAAAAAGGAGTTCTCAGGGGTTTTCAAAGGAACATATCAGGTAGCAAAAGAGGAGGAAGGTGTGAGAATTGTGAAGGAAGGCTTTAGGAAATCTGGGATCTACCCACTGAACCCCTTCACCATCTGTGACAGACACATGATATCAGCCCACCACCCTGGCCAGATAGCTGCACCCTCCTTGTCAACACCAGTGCCGGGAGTGCACACTGTAGGAGACCTCACAGATGCTGGGCCGTCTTCCTAATTCATTGCTATAAAAATGAAAGTGTGATTGACTGCATAATTGAGCAAAGCAGAAATGAACACAGGCTCGTTCTGTCTTTCAAAATACTGAATTAATTACAGTCCTGTTTTTAATATAGTGAACCACCTCCTGCTGCCTCCCTGCAGAGAGCCCTGTTTGAGGAAGGCTTGCATTGTTATTAATTACTACTCAACAATGAGCTCAGTTTTAGTTATCCGGTAATAATGTTTGAATGCTGCACAACTGTGGTTTTCAATGGGTTGGGAGTCCCAAGGTGAACATGATTTTCAAAAGAATAATAAAAGAAAAATAGAGGAAATATTTCTGCTTAACAAAAATCTGTAATTTCTCTTCATAAATGCTTCCATCTTCTTGTGAATTATTGGATGGCAAGCCATTTAAATTAAGTGACCCATAAAAGAAAAACACTTGCAAGGCACTCACAAGTTGCTTCAGCCTAGGGGATTGTGAGCAAAAGGACATTTGTAGATATTCAGTGCCATCTTTTTTTTGGTATTGCTGGCCAGTCAGTTAGCGAAGCTAACCATCATTGGTAAGGGGCATGATTTCAGTTTAGTGGTCTCTGACAGTAAGTGAGGGAGGGGAGGCTGTGAGGTGTGAGTTGCCCGAGCAGTTCTGCACAGATATAACACCGGTGATTCACTCTGTCATTTGTTTTATGTATGTAAGTAATGTGACAAATTCACTCGATTATCTCAAACCCACTGGAACGGATAAAAGAATGGATTTAAAGCTTGGGCACATTTTCATATGTTATCTGTTGTAGACGTCTGATAACTACACTTTATGCTGTGCAAGATGTCTCTGAAGCACAATCAAGCCTCTTAACTACCAGACTGATTTTGAGTGGAAGTTGGAACCATTTATTGAAGGATGTGTCATCAACAGATGATGCAGCTGTAGAATATGATACACCTACTGCTGTTGTCATGGTTTTCTTTGGAGGTCAAAGAAAATATGTCCATTTTTGGTTCCAACGGTTGTTGTCTTTTTTTCCCTAAATAGTTTGAAATTGTACATGTGATTCTATTGTTCCTTTACTTACATCTACTGGCCTCTTTGTTAGGTACGCCTGTTTAGCTTCTCATTAATGCATATATCAAGTCAGCCAATCACATGGCAGCACTGTGCTATCATGTTAATGTAGATCATAATCTCAGGAAGGTTTCCAGCATGTTGTTGAATCTATGGTATGAATAATTAAGACAGTTCTGGAGGAAAAGGGGTCCAACCCAGTACAAGCAAGGTGTACATAATAAAGTGGCCTGTGAACATAAGTATCCTGAATAATTGTGAACACAGAAACTGATATAAAAGTAAACCCAAGACCTTTTTAAATAATTTGCTTCTTTCTGTTCACCTGGAAGAATGAACCCTACGTGATCTCAGGGGGAAAAGTCAGACATCTAGAATAAAGATATTTTTAAATGTGTTTGAAGCAAAAATTTGTCCATAACCTTAATAATTTACAAAATTTTGCTGTAGCCATAGTTGAGTGTGTGTGTGTCTGTGTTATGTACATGTTCAGGCTGAGTGATGTAATGTCAGTGCAATTGATACATTTGCCGACAATAGTCAGGCAGCTAAAGCTGACGTATCCTTTATTTAGTAGAAATATTGTGCAACCAAGCAGAAGAACATCTTGCTGTTCTATTACCTGTATAAAATAACTCTGTATATGACTATAATTATTGGATGCCTATATCAAAATCATAATTTTAATGCACAGGGGTATTAATATTAACATTAACCTTTTTTTTTTAAACAAAGCTGGTAAAACATTTGTCACATACCATATAATTAACAATCTCATATGTTAAGTTGTTCCCTAGAAAGCCTTTGCTACAGTATTCAAGGAAAAAATACGCATGTGTCCTACAGGGAAGCACCCCAGTAAGATTAACGTTTGATCAACCAGCTTAAGTGTAGGTCACACTGCAGTGTATTTTAGAGTTTTATGGATGCGGTACAGATGCCCAGGGCTAAGTTAATGTTTTTGTACTGTATGTTAATATCACAGATGGTGATTTGTGCCTGAAGCCTGGAATATTTTTAGTTATGATTCAATGACACAGCACAGTCGAAGGACAATTTGAGTTTAACTTGCAGAACTGCCACCACACTGTGTGGTGCCATACACATGGGTCTAATATTTAAGTTTTACATTATTTTTCTTTAAAAAAAAAATAGATTTACAGTCATGGTAAAAATTTATGGCCTCTGTTAGTTCTGAGGTTTACATATGAGGGCATATTGAAAGTAAATCATGCTCTTAAAGTTTCTGAAATACAACCTCAGATGAACAACAATGCGTGACGTATTACACGGTTTAAAAAAAACAAACTAAGCCAAAATGCAGAAGGAGTGTGTGAAAAGAACAACCAGTGACTGAGTAGCTGGTAGAACCACCTTTAGCAACAATAACTTGAATAGCTTCCTGTATGACTTTATCAATCTGCCACATCATTGCGGAGGAATTTTGGTCCACTTTTCTTTAACTTGTTGCCTTTTTTCTTTTTCAGCCATTCTGTTATAGAGTTGCTGATGTGATTGGATTCATTGTCCCGTTGAAAGAACCAGTTTTGGACAAGCTGTAGCTGTCAGACAGATGCCCTCACATTTGACTCTAGAATACTTTGGTATACAGAGGAGTTCATCATGGTCAAGTTAGTGATATCAAGGTGCCCACTTCCTGTGGCTGCAAAACCAGCCCAAATCATCACCCGTCCACCAACATGCCTAAGAGTTGCTATAAAATGTTTGTGCATTTTTTTGTTGTTTGTTTGTTTTGGGGGGTGTTTTACCAAACATGAAACTACACACTATGGTCAGACATCTCCACTTCTGTTGTTCAGTCTTTTCCTGGTTGCACTGTCACAAATTTTAACATTTTGCATGCTAACCGAGGCCTATAGACTCTGATTTGATTTCTCTAAGCACCTTAGGGCGAATTTGGTGATAAGGCTGTACTTAGTTCTTCACACACTACTTCTGCATTTTTGCTTTGTTGTTGTCTTTTTAAAAAAAAACATATTTTAATATGTGAAGTTTTAAAGTTCATCTGAAGGTATATTTACCAAGCCATGGTAAGGACTAGACTATTATTTTTCATATGTGCGGATGCTTGAAGCCTTAGAAATGAAAGTTGTTGTTTTTTTTGTTTGTTTGTTTTACCATTTCTGTGTATTTGTCAGTTAAATCCGGTGTGCCTGAGCAACGTTTACATTCAAAAGTGTTTTTTCTTTTTTAAAATAATTTTGCAGCACTCACTCAAATCTCCTGGCTGCCAACCGGACTTGTGAACTCCTAGCTGGAATAGATTTAGTTTCCACATCTGTGTTCGTTCTGCAACACAGAAGAGGTTGCTGTGACACTGAGACAGGACAGCTTCAATTATCCCTTTCAATTAAAAAAAACAAAATTTTAAAACTCAATTTTTGAAGTTGCATCTCAATCACTGTGAGTACCCCGCTGTGTCTTGTTCTTTCTTGGCATCATTTGATCTTTGGATCCAGCTGCCGTCCTTTTTTAACGTAGACCGCACCCTGATGTTTTGAAGCACCTCGCTTCTGTTAATATCTACAACACACACACACTTTTATCAGTACTGCATACCAAGAAATAGTTTTTTCTTCCATGTTTAATCTTATCAAATACTCACCTTTTGACATGCTGCTGATGTTTTCTCAGATGTTCAACCTGAGGAAATATTTGATGATAAACTTTCTGTACGTTTTACCTGTCATACTCTACACTCATTCCCAACTCACCCCCTTTCGCAACCTGTAAAGCTGTATTCCTATACACAAAAAACTCACCCACCATGATAAAGTGATATTGAAGCATTTACTCTTTGTTATTAACACATGTGGACAGTTATTATTATCTGAATAAAACCATTTGAGCATACCAGAAGACATTCCACAATAAAACTTGTGCAAAAATCTAATCTGCTTGTAAACACTATTAACAAATGTATCTCGTGCTCTCCCCAGTCTCTCTGCATCTTGTCATATTGCGCATCTGTTCTGTATTCTCTTCAAGCGCCTGTTAACATTTTGACCTGTGCTTAGTGCTTTAATCTCTTGTGATGAATCTTTCTGGAGATGTGCCAGCCCCAATTAAGCAGGTCAAATTCATTATTCATAGAAAAGGAAAGCAATTCAGATTTGGTAATGAGGCCTTCCTCACACAGGCCACGAACAGGGGTGTGAAGTCCATTTTTGTGCCGTATTGTGTTCTCACCTGTTTGTGTCAGAGCAGATCAGTGCCGGTCCTCCTCCGGGTCTCTGTGACACGCAAATAAGATGGCAGAAATACCTCCACCAGAGCCCCCACCCCTGCAGTTTCAGATCCCGCCCCCCTCCCCTGTTAGTTTTGAAGTGCCGCACCTGGATGATGCTACACAGGCTCATTGAGCAAGCGGATAGGCTGGGTGATAAGAGGGGCAGCACTGTTTTGTGGTTTCGATTTTTCTGAGTGTGAGAGGTCACATTCCAGAGATGTTTTCTAGTGAGATTTTCAGTCTTTGCTAAGAAGCAAATTAAAAATAGGCTTTTATAACCTGCCTGACAGCTTAAAGGTATTTAAATGAACCCTGCAGGTTAGTACTTGATGCTGTTTTCTTTCCTACTAATGGCTATAGCAGGGGATTAAACTGAACTCAATTCTGCTCAATATTAATGTAATCTCTTTATACACTTATTGGTGAGACCCTCCACAACAGTCCCAGTTTCTCATGTGGTCCCATGGG